TGAGAGTAGGTGCCATGTGTACAAGACCATTCTTCACCATCCTGTCAGTGTTTGACAGTGCCTGCATCGTGAACTGCTGTTTTCTGCCATGAAGTGCACAGTGTAAACACCGCCATCTGTTTGTGTTGCGTACAGCAGTGCTAAGTACCAGATCCCGGGTTGTGATTGTGGCCCAAAAATAAAAATGTTTTTCTGATCCAAATCAAAGGAATAATGAATTATGAAATTATTCATTGAATTATTCATGATTATATAATGAATTATTATAAGAAAATTCTACTAGTCTGCTCCTGACAGTCTCTATGTGGGAAAGATTGGTGTCAGATGTCCTCTGAAACAAAGTCTTTCATCCAGACCCGGAAGGTAGATATGAAACTTAAAGAATAAGTGGGTCCAGGGCTGTGCATAGCACCTGGGCCCTGCTGTCAGCTGCATTATCGAGGATGAGACTGCTGGAAAGATCCAAGCAGGAAAGAGAGAACAGAGGTAGTTTTTTCTACAGCATGATGGAGATGGGTGACTTCACAGCTCCTAGCCACTGCGTCACCCACACTTCACCCCAGGAATCACTTTTGCCATCAGGTTAGCTGAAGCTCACGGGCCTGTCCTTGTAGCTGTTCATAGTCTTCCCAGGGTTTCAGCTCGGGGCCAGGGATCATTGCCGTCTACGGATGGGCTATTGAAGGGGTGTTCTTGGAGGGACGGTCTTGCCGTATATTCACCAGCTCCCATATGGGTTTGTCAGATCCTTTTCAGAGACAAAACACCCCAGGACATCCTTGGGCACATCTTCTAGCAGGGGTGTCCAACCTGTAGCCCGCAGACTGCATGAATGCCCGTGGATTTCTATGAATGCAAACCAACATAAAATCATAAATTTAGTTAAAACCCTTTCTTTGCTCATCAGTTTTCATTAGTGTTTGTGTATTTAATGTGTGGCCCAAGACACCTCTTCTTCCAGTGTGGCCCAGAGATGCTAAAAATTTGGACACCCCTTCTAGTCTATACATCAGCCTGCCAAACTTGTCATAGATGGCTGAAGTTGGAAAATAGTTTTCCATTGCCAGGGTATGAAGTTGGTCATGGTGTGAGTTTAGACAAAGGTGAGCTTCAGTGAAAATACCCTTAGCTTTTTCAGGGAAGTCCTTTATTTTAAAATTAGCATCATATTCTCTTATCTTTCATATTGACAATTGTGATACCACATTGTTCTGCAGTTGCTCAGTTTTCTGTGCCAGTCCTTCCTTTGAAAGAGACGACGCATGAGCATCACCCTCTGGAGGAACGTAGATGTGAAAGAGAGCAGCTGTACAGGCCAGATGTATGGGGCGTTCTAAACGTTGTGGAGGAATGACCACTCCTGCTTTCCAAGCATGTTCTATAAACTCCTTTCTGATTTGTGTTTGGGTTCATAAGTAGGTGTGAAGCATTTTTTGCTTCTCACTGGAATTACAGCTATGAACTGAGTCACCCAGCCTGGCTGTCAAGACCACCATCCTACGGCCCTAGCTAACCAGAACAACTCCTTGGCATGGGAGCAGCCATTTTGTCTGAAATAGTATTCTGAACTCATGAGTTATTTTTATTTAAAAACATATATATGTATTTTCTAGCTCTGTCTACCAAACAGACTTAGAGACAGTGGCCATCTCAATAGCAGTGAACATCCTTAGTGCCCAGATTGTGATCTTGAAGTATAGTATCTCACTAAACTAAACCAAGGCTTCTTGGAAAAGTGGCTGATTCCAATACTAGGACATAAGGAACCGAGAAACATTTGTCTTTCAGGTAGTATGGACACTATCAGAGTCATGTCGAAAAGACACAAGAGCCAACTAAAAGAGGGTTTCCATTGCCAAATATGGGACAATTCAAGTATTAACAAGGATAGTAAGTGTGTAATGGGTTAAAACATCTTGATCATGTCTTAAATCCATGATTTTATTATGGCATTTAAAAGGAAAACTGGTTACATTTGAAGTATGCCGTTGGGACTGAATTATTATTTTGAAAACTATTATATGAATGAAAAGGATTAAGCATTCACCCCACCTGTTCTATATGAAATGTACTACTATATGGCAAAACAATAGATTAATAAAGTTTGTTTTTATAGAACTTATTCCAACAAATTACTAATACAGAAATGATGGAATGGGAGTATCATCATTTTGCATTAAAAGTTTTAGGGCAAGTACTCTCCTGAACAAAGTCAAAGTTCTGTTAGTAGGAGAAAAGAAGGGCTATACAATGTCCTTCACTGTTAGCTTATGTAGAGATCCATTGTCTCACTACACAGTGATTCTGGTGGGGATGGTTGGGAAAGCACATAGTAGGTGATCAATAAATATTTGTTGAGTGAATGAATGAATTGGCTTTAAAAACCTGTAGTAGATAACACTCCTCTTGAATTACCTCTAGTTTATCGAGCGCTGTTGCTGCTGCATTGTGATTTTTGAAGTTTACTTTTCCTTGAGTTTTATCACATCAGATTTCATGTCTCAAACTCATTTGCATCTTCTTTTATAGTTTCTTTTAACAAGAAAACTTGAGGGAAACGCTTGCATGAGAGAATGACCTTTTTTAACAGTTATGATTATGTGTGAAGTTTCACTTGATTGAGAGAAATACGAGTTAGCGAAGGAACTTAGTCCAGCTGCTTTTTCTGTAGATGAAGAAATGAGGATTAGAGAGTTCGTGACGTGTTCATCGGTAGACCACTAGCTGTATTAAGATTAGTGAGCCTAGAGGTCTTGATTCTAATGTTACTCCTCATTTTATTTGGCCATGTTGTTGCTCAAATCAAAATCAGTCTACACTGAAGAAAATTCCTCATTTATCACCACCAAATAAGAACATAGGTGTCATTTTTTTAATTGGATGTATTTGCATGTAATACTGTGTCAATTTAAGGTATGCATCATGTTACTCTGATACACACACAATAATGTGGTTGTCAATATGACATATTTATCACATTACATACTTATAGTAGAATATTGTTATGTCATTTTACCTTCGGTCAGAGTCTTAATGAAATCGTGCATTACTTTCTGAACCAAAATATACAGAAGAAATGATGTTCAGTAAATTAACAGTATTAGGCTGGATTTGTTTTTTAAAAAGGTAATCTATATTTTAATTGTGAACCAAGATGTTCATTTAATCAAATTTTCTGATACAGAAACCAATATTGGTGAACAGGAACTTACTAAGCCTACTTTATCAGCGGGAAAGGGAAGACATAAAATTAGAAAATTACTGTGATGTCTTTAATTTTATTAGTAGCATGTATAAATCAGTAGCAATGTAAAGAGAGAGGAGCAGTACTTATACTCTAATCTCACATTCTGAATGGTTCTCAGTGATTCTTGAATTTTTTATTTGTAACATGCTTAAACATAAAAGAAATGATGGTTTATAATAAAAATTCACTCTTTAAAGGAACAGTGAATTCTTACTGTATAAAACATGTCCTACTTCATCTTCTATCAATTCTTTTTTACTCCCATGAAATACGTAACTTTGGTTTATCATCTTGGCAAGAAACTGTTCAAAACTTTTGGTAAAACTTCATTTGGAATTGAGGCTCTTCAGTTGGCAGGATCGGGTAAGGTGATGGGAACTGTAAGAAAAATTAGTATTAAATAAATTCTGAAAACACCGTGCTAACTGAGCACAAGTGTATATTCAGTCTTGTCATCCCATTTTACAGATAGGCCAGTCACTACATTGGGCTTTGGTTTAATTCGTACTGTTGGGTACTCCATAAAAGTTGGACATATGTAGCCATTAAGGTAAAAAGAATTGACAGATAAACCTAATAGTTTATTTGTAAAATATTAACTCCTGAAATGTTAATATCTACATTTGATAAAGTAAATTGTAATAAAACCACTTTGGGAAGTGTTATATATTATATAATTAAGTTGAAATTTTTGAAAAGCATTTAAGTACATAAGAAAGTACTAATGTTTCAGTGGAAAAAAATGGCAACATGATCACAACTTTGTCAAAAATATACAAGAGTAGAAGAGAGTGACCTAAAATAATGATTGTCTCTGGGTATTAAGATTATGGACATTATTTTCTGTAAAGAATCCTGTTACTTTTATAATCTGAGTAAAACACAAATCACACCCCCCCCTCGCCTATTCATATTGCCTCAATGAAATGAAGTGCTCAGTGACTTGCAAAGAAGAGCAGTTGTCAGTTTTTCAAACAGTCTTTTGGAAATGTTTAGTTGCATATTTTTGAGCCTGACTGTATTATTTGAGCTGTATAAATATTTGCATTCCATTAGGAACACTGAAGCTAAAAACGTAAAGCAGAAACCTGAGTCTTTCTGAATAATACTTTTAAAATAAGGGATAATGTCTCAGAGTCGTAATTTTCTTCACTGTCAGATTTGATTTTTATTTTTCTAAGATTTTATTTATTTACTGTTCAAGAGAGTGGAAGGGAGGGAAAAAAAGAGGGACAGAAACAGCAGTATATGAGAGATATAGATAATTGGTTGCTTCTTACATGCCCCCAACCGAGGACCTGACCCAGAACCCAGGCACGTGCCTGACTGGGAATTGAACCAGTGACCCTTTTGCTCGAAGGGCAGCACTCAATCCACTGAGCCACACCAGCCAGGGCATCAGATTTGATTTGTTAATTGCTAAATGTCCAATGACAAAAGTCACCTTTTTATTTTTATTTTTTTAAAGATTTTATTTATTTATTTTTAGAGAGGGAAGGGAGGGAGAAAGAGAGAGAAACATCATTGTGCGGTTGCTGGGGGTCATGGCCTGCAACCCAGGCATGTACCCTGACAGGGAATCGAACCTGCGACACTTTGGTTCGAAGCCCGCACTCAATCCACTGAGCTACGCCAGCCAGGAAAAGTCACCTTTTTAAAGAGAGAAACTTCAAATGGAAATATGTATATTAAGTCTTTTATATTTTATATATCTTGAATGCTTAGATTCATGTGAACTTCTTCTGATTTTTAGAGGAACAGAAGGAAAATGAAAAGCGGAAAAGTGAAGAGCAGCCAGTAGATTCAGAAAATCATTCTATACCCAATTCCCTGGAAGAAACTACCGTGAAAATAGAAAAAGAAGATGAAAAGGAACTTGTAAAACTGCCAGTAATAGTAAAGCTGGAAAGGCCTTTGCCGGAAAGTGAGGAAAAAAAGATTATCAAAGAAGAAAGTGATTCCTTCAAGGAAAATGTCAAACCCATTAAAGTAGAAGTGAAGGAATGTAGAGCAGACCCTAAAGATGTCAAAGGCAGCATGGAGAAGCTAGAGCCCGAGAGGCTCGAGTTTGGTGTCAGTGTGAAATCTTCTCAAGAAATTACCGAGAAGTCCTCTGAAGAAACTGAGAAACTTAAAAATGACCAGCAGGCCAAGATACCACTAAAAAAGCGAGAAATTAAACTGAGTGATGATTTTGACAGTCCAATCAAAGGACCTTTGTGTAAATCAGTTACTCCAACAAAAGAATTTTTGAAAGATGAAATAAAACAGGAGGAAGAGACTTATAAAAGGATCTCTGCAATCACCACTTTGGGTCATGAAGGGAAACAGCTGGTAAATGGAGAAATTAGTGATGAAAAGTTAACTCCAAATTTTAAGACAGAACAAATGGAGACAAAGTTTTATGATACCAAGGAGGATAGCTGCAGCCCCTCCAAGGATAAAAGTGTCATGATGGAGGGAAATGGAGCAGAGTCCTTAAATTCTGTCATAACCAGTATAAAAACAGCTGATCTTGAGAAAGCAGTGGTCCCTTTAGGGAAAGATGGAGAAAGTTCAATAGCAGATTTAGAAATCCAGAATCAAAAAGAGCAGGTAGAGGAAACTGATCCTCCAGAAATGGAAACCTCTTTTGAGGCTTCTGAGATGGTAAAGGATCTATCTTTACAAACTGCTTTATCTACTGCTGAATCCCATACTATGAAGGTTGAAGAGAAATCTCCCAAAAGTAAGAAGGATAAGCACCCACCAGTCCTCGAATGTCTTGAAAAGTTAGAGAAGTCCAAAAAGACTATTTTTGATAAGGACACACAAAGATTGAGTCCAATACCAGAGGAGGTTCCAAAGAATACTTTAGAATCAGAGAAGCTAGGCTCTCCTGAGGCAGTTGAAACTTCCTCGCCGTCTAACTTGATGGGCCATTGTGAGAAACCAGCCTCAGAAAAAGAAGTGATAGAGTGTCAGAGCACAAGTTCCACTGAAGGTCAGTCCATGGAACAAACAGACCCAGAAATTTTAAAAGAGGATTCTGAACCCACGCAGGTAGAAGTGGTTAACCCAGACAATGCCCAGACCCCTGGTGCAGAGGACTCTTCTGAGACAAAAGGCTCTATGCCAAAAAGCAAATTTAAATATAAGTTGGTTCCTGAAGAGGAAACCACTGCCTCAGGAAACTCGGAGATAACTTCTGAAAGGCAGAAAGAGGGCATCAAATTAACAATTAGGATATCCAGCCGGAAGAAGTCAGATTCTCCTCCCAAAATTCTAGAACCAGAAACCAAACAAGAGAAGTCAGAAAAGGAAGAAGAGAAAACAAATGTGGTTCGTACTTTAAGGAGGTCTCCGAGAATATCTAGACCCACAGCAAAAGTGGCTGAGATCAGAGATCAGAAAGCTGATAAAAAAAGAGGGGAAGGAGAAGATGAAGTGGAAGAAGAATCAGCAGCTTTGCAAAAAACAGACAAAAAGGAAAACTTGAAAAAAATCGAGAAGGATACAAATTCTAAAGTAAGCAAGGTAAAATTTCTCTTACTCTGAGTTTTAATTTTTATTAGAAATATATTTGGTTTTGTATGTGTACTGGCTGTATTTGTTGCCTTTGCTTTTGGCCAAAACAAGTCATTCAAAGATAACTTTAAAAAGAAACATCTTTCTGTATTTGAAATGTCTTTTCTCAGTAGCTATCCCCAGACACTTTAGTTCAGACTGTATAATCCCATCATCTTTTAAACTGCATTTCTGACCCATTATGAACTGTAAAGGAATATATTTTCTTTGTAAAGTATTCAAATAATACCCAACCAGTAGGATCGAAAAGTGAAAATGTCCTATAAGCACTATTAAGTTTGTTTTCCAATCCTTTTTCTATACATTTATGTATGTTTGTAAATACTTATCCATTCACTTAAAAATAAATTGAATCAAATATGTTCTTTTTTTTCCTCTGAGTTTCTCACTTAACAGTGTGTCTCTGAACTCTTCCATGTCAGTAGGAGAGAGTCTACCTTTTGGTTATTAATGGCCACATAGTATTCCATAGTGTGGATGTACCTCACTTTATTTGACTACTCCCTTATTGATTGACATTTAGGTTGTTTCCAATTTTTCACTATTACAGGCAATGCTGCTTTGAAGATCATTTTGGACATGAGTGAGTATTTCTTTAGAATAGACTCCTAGAATTGGAATTGTTGGGTCAAGGGGCATGTGTATTTTAAGTTTTGGCAGCTGCTGACACATTTCCAAAAATGGCCCCATTATGTGCCCTCTCCTTATGTGTATGAGAGTGCCTATACTCCCCAATTTTAAATAGCACTCTTGGAAGCCAGAATTTTTTTCTGATGACCTTCTTATTTTAAGAAAAATCTGGTAAAATTATTTGGCTAGTCTATGGGAGTTTGTTATAATTAAAAGTGCTACTTTGGTTTTGAATTTATTTCAATTATCAGATTATTCCTTATTGTAAGTGATTATTTCCTGGAATACTGAATTTTTAATTCTTTAAAAAAAAAAAAACCTTTCCCTTCTGTTAGAATTATTTTGGTCTTTGATGAGGACTTACACTGTAGGAATTAATTAAAAAATTGTGCAACCAGGCAATAAAAAGGAGTTTACATCATTATAAAATTACTCTTTGAGTAATATCTTTTTTAAGTTTGTCGTGATTTTTGTATGCATTTCTGACCCATTAAAAATTTTTACATTTAATTCCAATATAGGAATTTAAAATTTTGTATAACAAAATGTAAGCACATAGTCAGTGCTCTCATATAGAGCCTTTAAAGTGTGCATGGCCTTTGACCCAGAATTCTCTTCGAGGAATTTATCCTAAGCACTGAGATGTGTGTGTAAAAGTTTGTATTTACAGTAATACAGCTGTTTATTAAAGTGAAAAAATGGGAAACTACCTAAATGTCTCATTAGTACAGAATTAGGTAAATGCAACTATGTGATGGTATATTATACAATCACTTACAGTGATGTTGGGAGAACATTTTATGACTAGGTAAAATACAAGACAGTGTTTATTATATAATACCTGCCAAAATAGAAAAGAATAATAAAAATATATACCAAAATTAAACAGTAGGTATATTTATAAAGAAGCTACAATAATTTCCCATTTCTGTTTACATTCTTTTACTATATTATCTCAATTTTTTATTTTATACAAGGTAAAAACCAAAGGCAAAGTTCGATGGACTGGTTCTCGAACACGTGGCAGGTGGAAATATTCCAGCAATGACGAAAGCGAAGGGTCTGACAGTGAAAAATCATCTGCAGCTTCAGAAGAGGAGGAAGAAAAGGAGAATGAAGAAGCCGTCCTGGCAGATGATGATGAGCCATGCAAAAAATGTGGCCTTCCAAACCATCCTGAGCTAGTATGTGATATTCATATTACTGGTTGCTGTGGTTTTCCAAAGAAGCCTTGCTCTTCTGGGTTTGTTCATGATTTGGAATTTTAAATGGTGCAGATCTTGTGTGTACAAAATAACCTAATTCTTGGGAGGTCAGTTTCCTACTTTCATTCTTCCTGGCTAGGTATTGATACTTCTTTTCATGAGTATAGACTCCTAATCTCTCCTCACAAATATATGAAATTATTCAAGTATTTCTGTTTTGTTCTTTTAAATTTTTATTCTTTCCCTTTAAGTTAACTTGCAATGATAATTCTGAAATGCCAGCTTTAAATAAGCAAGGCCTCAAGGACTTACTGCTTTTCTATAACAACATGTAAGTCAAGTAGTTAACCTAGGAGGACCTTATATTTTAGGAAATAGACAGTTCTAAAAAAACGTTAAGAGTATAAATTATAGATCAGATACATTCAGAAGAATAGTGACAGATTGACATAAAACTTACCTAGGAAGTACTTTCTTCAGAGGTGAGGTAAATCAGGAAAACCAGTTCTTAACATGATAGATAGATAGATAGATAGATAGATAGATAGATAGATAGATAGATAGAGATGTGTGTGTATATTTCTGCAGTTCATAATTGCTTTCTAAAGAGCCTATTGAAGAAACACTCCTGTTATGCCAATTTTATCTAACTATTCTGTTCTTTTGAATACATTTGACTTTAAAGGCAGGCTCCAACTATTAAGTAGAAAGAATGCAAAGAAAGATGCTTCTACATGGGTAGAATTGTTGGATCAGAAAAGTTTCAGATCCTTTAGAGTTTGGAAAATTCATATGAAGTGGTTCTCCAAGGCTCTTTTTTCCTAGAAAGCAGTATGGTGTGATGGGAAAAGCATGGACCAGACAGACTTGGCAGCAGATCCTGCTTCCACCACTTACCAGGTGCTCTCTTCTCTGTATCTTGATATCTTCGTAGTAAAGTGGGAATTAAACCGCATAGTTCTTAGGGTTGCTTTTAATGTTATGTAAAGTTGCCTGGCACATCTATTATGTGCTGGGTTAAAGTTTTTTGTGATTTACTTTTTTTTTTTTTTTTTTTAAGTTAAACTCATATCTGGGAACTAAGTCAGTGGAGTTTATCATATCCCTCTAGTTCCAGAGGGTTCAAAAGATATAACTTAGAACTAGATAATGACATAACACTGAGAAATGTAGATGCTGAAATTATGCTGAGAAGACACTTGAAAGCATTTTTATGATCATCGGGCTGTAAGAGTTAGGTCAAGATTTTTGTGAAGTGAAAGGACAAAAAAAAGATAGACAGTGGTCTTTCCTACCCTCTAAATCAAGTACAAAACAACACTTGTATTCTTTCCCTGCCATTTCCTGATATCTTTTTAAACTAAGAGAGTGCATTTTACTGAGGCATCAATAGATTTCAATGACAGAGGAGTGTGAGGAAATGAAAAGTGAAACAAGGTGAGCAGAGCTGACATTGAAGAGATAAAGTTACACCTTCTTGGCACACATGCAGAATTTTTATTTAGTTATCTTAATAACTGCTCTAAAAATCCCACTACTGGGTACTATGCCAAAGAGAAATATCATTAGAAACTAAAGATCCTAAATAGTGGATTTCTTTTTGTTTTTAAAGATTTTATTTATTTATTTTTAGAGAGGGGAAGGAAGGGAGGAAGACAGGGAAACATCAATGTGTGGTTGCCTCTTGCGCTCCCCCTACTGGGGGCCTGGCCCACAACCCTGGCGTGTGCCCTAGACTGAGAATTGAACTGGGGAACCTTTGGTTCACAGGCTGGTGCTCAATCCACTGAGCCACACCAACCAGAGCTAAATAGTGGATTTCTTATGCCCTTTGTTTAAGGATAATCCTTAAATCAAAATGTCAAGCAACTATTGTGTGATAAGTGGTAGGGAAATGATCCTGAAATAGAAAGACAAGGTCCCTGTCTTCATTGAGCTTACAGCAAAAAAGCAGTAAATTCATAGATGAGCATAGAACTCTGGGATTTTCCAGGTGTTTTAGTCAAAGTAAATGGATCATTGGCCGAGGATTGGAAATCTTATATAGTAATATTTATTCAAATGGGATTTTACCTTTATCTAGTAATCGATATAATTATTATTTAGAGATACATTGATTTCTAAAAGTTTACTTTTAATTTTTTATTTGATATTTAGATTGTGCTTTACCATAGAAACAATGTGATAAATGGAATCTGGTGCCCGGGTTTGTCTACATATGCCTATGTAATCAAACTGTCAATCAGTCCCGTAACTGAAGTACTGAATTCTGAGTATTGGCAGTAAATGGTTGTATAAGAAGGGGGAAGGTACTTTTTCACTTTTATATCACTGCACGTGTGTGTGCACATTTTACCCTCTTCCACCCATCATGATATGTATTATCAATTTAGAATTATATATACTAGGTTTGAACAAGTGAATGAAGTATGGGTAATATGAACCAGCTTTCTCACTGTCAGAGAAGTTACATACAAATAATCAAGGCTGAAGGCTAGAATGAACCTTGTGATGCTGGATTAGAGCTAGAGATACTAGTATGAACTCAAACTTTATTTAATATTGACATGTGCAAATGGATTGCTATACCTACATATATTTCCCAGTTCTGTCCTCTTCGCCATTTTAGAAGCAGTGAGCATTCAGCATCCAAGTCTTGATTTCTGAATACCACTCTCCATTGAAGGAACCAGGGCTTCTGGGAGAAAAGACTGTTTATTAGGCTTTGGCAAGGAAAGTAAAAGATATGCTTGGAGTATCCTGTAGTGCTAGAAAGTAAGGACATGCTTTTAAAAAAAAGAAACTCTGCAAATGAATTCTATGTACATAGTCAACCTGGAAGGGCTCCTAGTGTGTCCATACCTAGAACAATTTTTTTCATACCTAGAACAATTTGAATTTGACAATAGTTTTATATTATAACCCAAAGAATAAAATAAATATTCATTTGTTTATCCTGATATAAATTTGAATAAACAAATAAATGCATGATAAGGGACTTATTTTCTTTACAGAAGAATTCCAAATAACAAATGTGGAAAGCATGAGGGAAATAGAGTCACCATTAGAACACCACAGTAATAATTATTACAAGCAAGATCCCTTACTATTTTTATAGATATAATGTTAATTAACAAATTAAAATTATTTATAAAATTAACACTTATTTAGGGAAATAAGTGCTAGAACTAGTGGGTGAACCTTTAAGTAAAGAAACAGGATATTTGTATAACTTCAATGTATTTTCCCCTAAATATTAGTTACTATGGCAATTTTACTTTGAATTTACAAATATAAATCTTTGATTCTCCTCCCTCCAGAGAGTGGAGCTTAATTTCCCTCCCCTTGAGTGTGGGCTGCATTTACCACCTCTAATGAAAATAGAGTATGGAATGTGAAAATTAGTAACTTTAAAGTGGTAAAAATCGAAAGACACTACTGCAACCAAGTTATCAAGGTTAATTTCACCAGTAATAAGTCATATTGATGTCATGTACCCCAGATACGGCATAGTGAGCAGGGCACTTTACCTTTATGGGATTCTCCTGTAAAATCCATGACCTCGTTCTAATTAAGAGAAGGCATCAGATGAACCCAAGTTGAGGAGCAGTCTACATAATCTCTGACTAGTACTTTTCAAAACAGTCAGTCATGGAAAATGTTACAGGTTAGAGGAGCATAAGGAGACATTAAATGTATGGATTGGATCCTGAAATCAGAAAAAGATTAGTGAAAAAGCTGGTGAAATCTGAATAAAGTCTGTTGAGTTAATAATATTGTACAGGTGTTAATTTCTTATTTTTGGTGAATGTACCATAGTTATGTAAGATATTAACATTAGTGGCAGATGAGTAAAGAGTTTATGGGAACTCTGTACTATCTTTGCAACTGTTCTGTAAATCTAAAATATTTTAAAAATAAAATGTTTTTTTTAAAGTCAAACATTCCTGAATACACCATTTTAAGTTCTAGAGACTTTGTCATCTTAAATCAAATAACAAGAAATATCAACTTTGTATTTGAACATGATGGCCCTAAGTACAGTTCCCTCCCCCCCCCTCCCTTTTTTTTTTTTTAAAGATTCATTTATTTTTAGACAGAGGGGAAGGGTGGGAGAAAGAGAGGGAGAGAAACATCAATGTGTGGTTGCCTCTTGATCACCCCCTACTGGGGACCTGGCCTGGCCTACAACCCAGGCATGTACTCTGACTGGGTACAGAACCAGTGATCCTTTGGTTCGCAGGCCAGCACTCAATCCACTGAGCCACACCAGCCAAGGCAGTTCCTTTCCCCTCTGACCGCAGTTCCTGCCATATTTGAATTTACATGATAAAAGGAACCATGAATGATTGTTACAGATTGGTAATTGAATTGCTATTAAAAGTGAAATTATTTGTATTTTTAAAATCCTATGTGTGGTAGGATAGTTTGTGATACTTGAGCTGTAAAACTCTGTTATAAAAAAAATATTTTGGTAAAGCCCTCATGGCACACTAGAAAAGGATTGTAATTACTTTGGAAAGGATTTGCAATTTTTCATTTAATTTTGTAGTTTAACTTTTTTTAGTGTTTCATAAATGGCATATTAGATCTCTAATTATCATAGCTTTTTAAATTATACTTTATGCAAGTAAAGCATATATTTCTTAGTATTATACCAAGAAATACTGAAATGTCTTAAAATATTTTAACTCAAGTCACTGAATTTTAATCACAGAGCTAGGTTGATAACTAATATCTGGTTTCTTTCAGATTCTTCTGTGTGACTCCTGTGACAGCGGGTACCACACAGCCTGCCTTCGTCCCCCGCTGATGATCATCCCTGATGGAGAGTGGTTCTGCCCGCCTTGCCAACATGTAGGACCCAGTACACCTCTGTCTGCCCCATCTTTGGTTTTATATTCAAATTAGTAATACTTCTTGGCAGCTACTAACCATTTTAAATCTTTAAAACTATCTGTAAATGTGGTCTACCTCTTGTTTAAATTTCTGTGAAATGAGAGACTGTTGAAAAGGTTACCCTTTATTATCACTTAAGTCTTCCCTTAATTTTTTTCCAAAGCAATTCTCAGAAGACTTAATTTTTGTAAAAAAAAAATTTTTTTTTTTTTTTGGTTTAAAAAATGATGGGCTTTATTGCATTTCTCAGTGAAGTGAACTTCTGTGGCTTAGCATAGCATTATCAGTTAATTCTTCAGCTCTATTTTGACCCAGTAACCAGGTGGCATGGTTTTTTAATTTTTTTTCTTTCTCTTTTTTAAAACTAGCGATTCACACTATTATACTTCATTGTACATATAGCCCTCTTAAAAATGCCTTGGGATTTTTAAAAATTGTAATCACTGTCATGCATACATTTTGAATCAAATGCTATTTTAAACATTGATTTCTGCCAACAAGATAGGCATGGGATGTGTTTCCTGACAGGGTTCTAAGTTTCTCTAATATGTGCATTACTTTAAAGATACTATGCTCATTTTCAATTCAATGGAAGTTGAGGCAACACTTTATTTAATTAAATACAAGGAATATTTCAGTGTTCACTCACGGCATGGCCCCTTATCAGCTCATAGCATAGTATCCATATGCTAATATTATACAAGTAATGATTGTGGAAAGGTGTTAAAATAGTATTTATCTTTTGGCTGTTTCAGAAACTACTGTGTGAGAAATTAGAGGAACAATTGCAAGATTTAGATGTTGCCTTAAAGAAGAAGGAGCGTGCTGAACGCAGGTATTGTGATATGTGTGCTAATATTTTACTTGGGAATCAGATGGCAGAGCTGACTTAGAGTATAGATTAATGTGTATGTCTAAAGCGGGGATCGGCAAACTATGACCTGTGGGCCAAATCTGGCCTGCCTCTCGTTTTTGTACTGCTCGCTGCTCAAGGATGTTTTTATTGTTTTTAAATGATTGGAAAAAGATCAAAACAATCATATTTCATGACATATGAAAGTTATATATTCAGATTTCATTGTCCTTAAAGTTTTATTGGAAAACTGCCACACTTACTTATTATATACTGTCTGTGGCTTCTTTTGTCACACAGCAGCAGTGTTTAGTAATTACACTAGGGACCTTATGAGCCACCAATCCTAATTTATTATCTGTCCTTTTACAGGAAAGGTTTGCCAACCCCTGATCTAAAATACTTATTAGAACCTTCTCTGAATAAATATTGGCCCAAGTATTGTGGGGGATATATACCTAAGTATGGAGTGAGGACAAGAAAACTTTAAGAACTAATGTACAATTTAGTTGCCCATGTCATATCTTTGGGTTGGCAGAAATCACACAAGTAAGATAGAGTGCATTTAAATGCTGAACTGTGTCCCACTGACTATAAACGAAGCCTCCTTCTTCAGTATGCCACTGCAGCATGGTCTAAAGCAGTTGAGAAGGCATCTTGGAGGAGATAAAATTGGAGCTGAGCCTAATCTTTGAAAGGAGTCTTAGAATCAAGGCAGCATGTTTATATTTGTATTTATTTGTACTTCTTTGACTAATCTGTTGTGAAACATACATTGTGTACCAAACCGAAGAGAAAAGATGAGTACGACGAAGCTCCCGCCTACTTGGAGGTCACCCTCTATCAGAATATAGATGTAGGAAGCAGTGATACAATTAAGTGGACAAGTTGAGGTCTGTTCAAAGCAGTATAAGAACTGTGAAAGCAATTTGAGTTCTAGAGATTGGGCTTTTATCAGGGATGTCCTTGGAAGCTAACTTGGGGTTATATAGGTGGGCATGCAGAGAAAAGACATTTTAGGCAAAGAGCACAAATGTGAGCAAAGACAGTGTAAAAGTGAGAGTGGAAGAGTGGCAGAATGAATCTCTAAAAGCAGATTGAGGCCAAATTGTGAACAGCTTTGCATACCTTGTTATGGAATTTAGATTATTTTGTATAGGTGGTGGGGAAGTCATCAAAGGAGGGATATGTATAATCAGATTTTTTAAAAAAAATTTAAAGATTTTATTTATTTTTAGATAGGGGGAGGGAGGGAGAAAGACAGGGAGAGAAATATCCAGGTGTGGTTACCTCCCACACGCCCCCAACTGGGGACCTGGCCTGCAACCCAGTCATGTGCCCTGACTGGGAATCAAACCAGCAACTCTTTGGTTTGCAGGCCAGTGCTCAGTCCACTGAGCCACACCAGCCAGGGCCATAATCAGATATTTATTTCAGGAAAAATACCCTGGTCACAGTAAGAAGAAGGAATTAGAGTTGAGGCTTTTGTAGTAGCGTCTACAAGAGCCAGTGAGGCCTGTAATAGGGCAGTTGTGATAATAAAGTGGAGGTGATAAAGAAAAGTTTTAGATATTAATCAGGACTTGGTGCTCATTTGTACAAAGTGTGAAATAATCTAAGCAATGTTCTCTTATTGGCTTTATTATCTTCATTTGCTGCTACTTGACCTTTACCGGCTATCACATAGTTTTCCCTCACCAAGTTTAGCTTGTTGGGTCATTCCACAATCTTACCACTTTATGCAAAGGAGAATCTTAAAAATGGGTTCAGCCTCCAAATCCTGTTTTGTTTCTTAACTACCCAGTTTTGCTTTATATAATGGATGGTACTTAATTTAAAGGCAAAGTTAATCTCTAAAATTGAATAGGAGATGAAAGTGCTTAGTTTTTTAAAAATCCATTGTCTAAATACCCTTGTATTTAGAAACTGTGTAATTGTCCTGTATAAAATTATTAGGCCTGTTGTGATGTGCAGAGTTGCTCCTGTTTTTTATTTTTCACACTGGAAAAGATCTACCTACAGGTGCTTCAGATTAAATCATAATTGAAAATCAGATTGTCCCTGTGCCTTAGTCTTGCAGAAATCTGACTGTCCTGAGAGATGAGCAGTTCTCTCATGTTCTGAAGCTGATGTAACTCAGCAATGCTGATAGCTAATAGTCTTACTCTTTAAGAGCTTGGAAGAAAATGTATTCCCTCCAGAAGGCAAGGATGTTGTACAATGCAACATATAGATCATGTATCATAGAAATGTGCACTTGAAAGCACTTGAAAACTGTTTGATCTTATTAACCAATGTCACCTTAATAAATTTAATTTTTAAAAACAGATGCAGCAAAGAACCTCAGACTCTTTCTCTTAAAGTTAACTGTTGGAGACTATGTAAATTAACATCAGTTACTTGCATTTATCAAAATTTTCATTTAAACTTGGAGTTGCACACAGTTGCATAAGTTGTTTTAAGAACTGATATGCAAATGAGAAGACCTTGTAATTATGCTGGAGGGGAAAGATGACTGACAGGATGATGGAACTGTTTATGTTGCTTAAAGTGATTTAGAACAGTGCCCGAACAGTTCAGTGTGGCCTGGTGACTCTGCCAAAGTCAGATTCTAAGACTTGGCGTGTCTGAATTTATATTTTGTCTTTTTCCTTATCCTGCCTGCTTCCTGCAGTGCCTTTGAGAAGTAAAGAGGAGACAGAAGTGGGTCAAGCAAGAATGTGGAACCTGGATAAACCACCAAGTTAAAAGTGAAAAAAATAAACAATAGAAAAAAAAAGGCAAGGATATGAACCACTAGGAATTTGTTTACTACTCCAATTATATCTGCTTATTCTTTGGAGGCGTATGATGCTGTACCTCTTAGATGTGGCCATGCTGCTACAATTAAGAAATACTTTTAATTTTAGAAATTATGTTAAATGTGCCACAGCATTTGTTTGAACTGTTGGTCTCCTATTCACTAGTTCATTTGCTTTCTCTTTTACTCTTGGTAATCATCTTTACTGAAATGTCATTCTTTATGAGGACAAATGTAATTGTGGCTTTAGATCACACACTAAACCCTATGAAATTGATCACAGAAAGCAGAGCAAAGTCATAGTTATATAGAGAGACCAACCTGGCACAAAGGCCAGTTAACTGCATTGTTGCTGTTTGTTAATTCTCCCCAGTAATCTGGTTAACAAAGCTTTCATTATTTATAGCTCCTATGATGCTTATATATATATATGAATCTTAGGAGCTGTACATATCAAAATATATATGATTCTAAAGTAAATAATATTAACTATTAAATTCCAGGTGGCTTCATCTGTTTTTGAAAGTGAGCATTTTTATTTATACTTTTAAAACTATCTTTTTAAAAACTAATTTCTGTAGCACTCATCCTAGCATCTGAGAGTCTTGCTTACTCTCTATATCATAGAACAAGAGCATCTTTCCCCTATTCATGCCTTTATACAACATTTATCCAACACTTGTCAAGCACCTCCTTTGTACCAGGCAATATAATCAACATGAAGTATATGGTGTGGTCTCTACCCTAAAGGGCTCTATGCAGTTCAGTGGAAAAGGATGTGTCAGTGAGTAATTAGTGACTAGCAGCAACTATCTACAGAGATGGAGCTGTGATGCTCTGTGAAATTGGATGGTTCAGAAGTCCATTGAACTGATTTGTAAGTGTCCCTTTCAGAACTTGGGGCCAGAAATTATTTGGGAATTCAAATAGTTCTATACTTCCAGAGTACTATTACTAGTGCTTTGCTAATAGAGAGTTGGATTTAATCAGGGTTGGAATTTTCCAGGTAATATAACAGAGGGAAGGAGAGAAAGACAAGGAATTGAAAGTGTATACAAAGGAGTATTTATAATGATGGACCATGGAGTCTAAGCCAGGTAAGGGGGAAAGCAAGGACACGAAGGGAGTGATGGACAGTGAAAAGAGGGTAGGCTTAATGGACAGAGGGCCTCCTGGAGTCAGGGAGTTGTTGAAATCAGTGTACCAGAGTGAGCTGGAAAGTGAGCCAGTAGAAGCCAGAGAATAGGATCCCTGAAATGTAAATTTTAGCAGGAAATTTATAGGTAATGCTCAAGTCTGAGCCCCATGTGACCATTGAGCAGGCATTGAAATGGAGTGCTGGAAGATGTATCTTTCCGTAAGATTACTAAGCAAGGGAAGGCTGTGATGAGAAATCATACCTGCCTCCAAGGTTCCACTCAAGTTTATAAAGCCTCCTTAGATTTCTCAGCTCTTTTTCAGAATCTCTTTTTCATGTTTCCATTGTACTTGTTCATGATGGACAACAGTCAGCTGTTAATATTGTTGAAGGCAAGAACGTATCTTACCTTTGGATTTCCAAGCCTGAAAAAATATAACCTAATATGAATATGACTTTCTTTCCATTGAGTTAAGGAGAGAAATAATGGTCACATGGAAGTAGAAATTTTGAGGTGTAAAGAAGGAAACTGGTATCACAATAAACTTGGTTAGTGTAAGCACAGACATGTCAAACACATTTAACAATAGAGAGCTCAATCCTGACTTATCCTTGAAGGCTTCCCTATGAATTTCAGCTAGTACTGTTTTTGCCTTTCATATTTCTATTCAGTTCACTGTACACTGGCATGCATGTAAGAGCTCAGCTGTCCTTGGTGAATCAAATTAACTTGGGAAGAAATGAAGGAAAAAGCACCAGCTGTATATAGAAATTTGTTATGTAAAATTTATTGAATCAAAATCAACAAAACTTTTGTTTCTTTGAAATGAAACTGTGAGGTTGTCGTTAGTCTTCTAAATCCACATGAAGATATCCTTAGGCCAATCAGTATTTTTGGGCCAGTTAGGATAGCGTCCTAGAGCACAGGTTCATGTGGCTACATTGCTTTTTGTCTTCACTGTCATCACGGAGTGAATGGTCTTGATGTCATTCCCTGGGACCTTGATGTGGTTCTGTTATATAGAGTTATTTTCTACAGTGATAATTACTATCATGAGATTATAGCTGTGTATACACCCTTGTAGTATTACTAAAAACTTCCGGCATGACAAAGATCTACTTTATTCAGTCACAGTTGGCTGTTCTTCTAATCACTTTATTAGTGAGTTACAGCATGACTCTTCATGAAGTTTCATTGTCTATTTCAGTTACAGGTTTTATTTCACTTTTTCAAAAATACTTGCTTTTAACTATAGTTGACATACAATATTATATTAGTTTCAGGCGTACAAGATAGTGATTCAACATTTATATACCTTACAAAGTGATCACTACAGTGTCTAAAATAAATGTGATAACCATCAGTCAGCATACATAATTATTATTATATTATTGACTCTATTCCCTGTGCTGCACATCCCCTGACTTGCTCCATAACTGTAAGTTTGTACTTCTGAGTCCCCTTCCCCTTTTCTGCTGAGCCTCCCACCTTGTTCCTTCCATATAAGTCACTTCTAAAAGCTAGAATTTTCATCCTTTAGGAAGTTTTGTGCCTCCCACAGATACCAGTACTATAAGTTTTACAGATAACATAGCCTCTGCTATTACCATGAAATCGTAATGTTAGAATTCTCTTTGTTGTATTCTTTTCATAAGTTTTATTTTTAGCAAATCTCATTTTGTCTGTGTGCTTGTTTTTCATTTTTTAAAGGAAAGAACGCTTGGTGTATGTGGGTATCAGTATTGAAAACATCATTCCTCCACAAGTAAGTTTCTGGTTTATAGTAAAAAGATGAGATTGCCATAATTGTTCTAAAATTTATTCTACTTTATATAATGTGAGTAGTTTTAAATAGTATACCTATTTTATGAAAATTAAAAATTTAGGACCTTAAAGAAGTCACCCATAATCCCTCATGATTAAAATTATGTACATGCAGGTAGCTCCAAAATGTAATACTATATCCAAACCAAATTTACAGCTCACCCCTATGGAGTTTGGTGAGGTTTAATTCTAATACTAAATTGGATAAATTTTTTCTAGCTTCTTTATCTGCTGTTAATGCTAAGTGTCAAAATAAATGGTTCAGGGAGATCTGATGTTTTATTCTATTGTTTTGTGGTTATCAGAACCTTTAATTGGTGTTCATACAGTTTGTTGCTTTTGAAGGGATTTCATTGTTTTTCAGTTATTAGCCTAATGTATAATTAAGAAATATCTCATGAGTGGAAGTACATGTAATAATAGTTTTTATTTGAAATGAAGAAATTTTCTTAGTTCCATATACAATTTCATTCAGGTTTAATTAAATCACATGCTTGTCTTGGTGAGTTATTTTTCTTCAGCATCATGCCCTCTTCTAAATCCATTATTTCATTTCTTCAGCTTATCTATTGAATATCTTTTTTTTTTTACTTCATGTCTTTTATTAGCCCATATACAGTTATTTGTCTTCTGGTTTGTTGAAGCAACAGGTCAGACAACATTTGCACAGTAATGTCTGTCAAAGTGCTGGCCATAGAAACTCCAGCACCATTCATCTGAAGGGCACTCCCGACAAAGGCAACTGATTTTGCCATTCTCACCACTTAGTAGTATTTCAGGACAGCCAGTTTAACCTTCATTCTCTTATGCTTATTCTTCTTGGGAGTGGTGTAGGACTTCTTCCTTTTCTTAGCACCACATGAAGTCTCAACACAAGATGAAGAGTGGACTCCTTTTGAATATTGTAGTTAGACAAAGTACACCTGTCTTCCATTGCTTGCCAGCAAAGATCAGTCTTTGCTGATCAGGAGGAATTCCTTCCTTTTCCTGGATCTTGGCCTTTACATTTTCTGTTGTATTGGAGGGTTCAGCCTCAAGAGTGATGGTCTCCTCTGTAAGGGTTTTCACGAAAATCTGCATCTTGCCGACGACTCCACTGCAGATGGTGGATTGGAAAGGGCTGTACTGAATAGCTTATGTGCTAAATTTAATTATTTGTTGAAAAGATTTATTGATGGAAAAACTTCATCATGATTGTTTTTAAAAGAGGTCATTATAAAAACTAACAATTTTAATATAGAAGTGTTTGTTTGGATCATCAATATTTTTTAATCTATCCATTTTTATGTGTTGCCATGTTTATGCAGTTGGGGGGGTCATCTTTTTCATACCTTTCACATGTGCTGCCTAGAAGGACAATAGAAACTATTAATTCCAAGGAGCTATTTTCTGTCCTGAGTAATAACACATATTAATTATCATATTTTAAAACCAGGAGCCAGATTTTTCTGAAGATCATGAAGAAAAGAAGAAAGATTCAAAAAAATCCAAAGCAAACTTGCTTGAAAGAAGATCAACAAGAACACGGAAATGTATAAGTTACAGGTATGAAGTACGTGGAAATAGTTACAATGAAATAGTATAATATGTTCTTTAAATTAATACAGAATACAGAATTACATGCTTTTTCATCACAGTGATCATTAGTGGTTGTATATATATTTCTTACCTCCTATCTTTAGAACCAGAATTTGAGAGCAACAAGCATGAATGATCTTTTCCAAATACAAATTTGCTCACATCATTCTTTACTGGATAATATACTTCGTCAGATTTCTGTAGCACTTGGGATAAGGATCGATGTCTTTAACAAGACACGTGAAACACTGCATACTCTGCTCTGTGCTTCGCCTTTCCACGTTTTCCTTACTCAGCACAGCAACATTGTCTTCTTTCAGCCCCTTTGCATACACTGTCTATTCTGCCTAGAATTCCCATTTTCTCTCTGTTGACATTCTCTTGATCAACTCCCTCTATTATGTGCTCTCTTGGCAACCAGTTCTCCTTGAAAGCATTTAGCATAATTGTAATGATTGTTATAATTTTAATTTTAATTATTTGATTAAAACTTCTTCTACTAGACTTGTAGCTTGAAAGTAAGGACCATATCTGCTTTATACATCCTTGTTTTTTACAGTGAACATAGTACTGACAAATAGTAAGTCTTCCATAAATGCCTATTGAAAGAATCAAAAACTATAATCTGGTTTACAGTCTTCCACCAGAGAGGGAGGGAGGGGGAAAGGGTGGGACAGAGAGACAGGTATTTTTCCACAGTCATGCTTTTAGTAGCTAAACCTAGACCAAAACCTTATCTTCTGATTGTTGACTAGTCTAGTATTCTTCCACTAAACCTCCCTTATTTAAGACCTTTTATTGGCTCTGGTTGGTGTGGCTCAGTGGATTGAGTATCGGCCTGCAAACTGAAAGGTTTCTGGTTCAATTGCTGGTCAGGGCACGTGCCTGGGTTGCAGGCCAGGTCCCTTGGATGGGGACATGAGAGAGGCAGCTAATCAATGTTTGTCTCACACATTGATGTTTCTCTCCTTCTCTCTCCCTCCCTTCCCATCTTTCTAGAAATAAACTCTTTAAAAGAAAAAAAAAAACATTTTTTTGAACTGTGGTTTACATAGACAACACCAAAACAGTCTTTTAACTTGAATAACAAAGTCAATGAATAAAATGTTAGTTCTTTATTTGTTAAAATAAAGAACTTTGAACTTGCTTATTTATAAATTTTCATCAGTGGCCATGGCAGAGCTCTCCATGTATAGTTTGCTGCTATTGTTATTATTAAAACTTTATAAAATGCAGTAGGACCAGTAAGAAGGAAATCCTTAATCTATTGGAGCAGGGTCCATCTTGTTCTTTAAAAAATTTTGAAAAATTAGAAGTTCCATAAGATAATTATAACTGATGAAGTCAAAGCCTACTGATAAAACATGTGAGTGTAAAGTCGGTCCTGTTATAAGAATACATACATTCCCAAAAATAACCATGCTGTGCAAAATCACACAATAAAAACCATAGGGATTATGGTAAATATGACCACATACTAAAAAACTTCATTGGTGACATATTTAAAAAGAAGATGATAGGAATCTAATAAAAATCATAGTATCATTTGACACATGTTAAATGGTTAAGAAATCATATAAACACTATATGTGACATTTTTTTGTTCTTGGGGAAAAAAAGCCTTGAAGTTTGTCTATAGAAGTGAGGAGAGTTACTGTTTGTAAATTATGGGTGGTGGCAGATAACCGTTATTTGAAATCGACCAGAACACCAGATGCAGGTGGCTGTAGTTCTTAAGGCTCATGATGAGGTGAGGTAACTGATAGATGTCTAGGGTGGGTGTTCGGTGTGTTCCTCTGCAGTGAGGTACCGATTTCTATGTTAACCTAGTGTATCTCACAAATGAAATTACTCACAAGCAAGGATGAATCACATGTTATATTTGAATTATTTTGTAATATATCAGTCACATTGGAACAAATTTACATTTTCAGAACAAGCATTATATCAGAATTGTATTGCCTGTCAATCCTGATGTAATTGTGGTTGTTAAGAGAAACAGATTTGGCCCTGGTTATTGTGGCTCGGTGGTTTGAGTGACATCCTAAGAACTTAAAGTCACTGGTTTGATTCCCAGTCAGGGCACATGCCTGGGTTGCAGGCCAGGACCCCAGTAGGGGACATGCAAGAGGCAGCCACACATTGATGTTTCTCTCCTCTTTCTCCCTCCCTTCCCCTCTCTCTAAAAATAAATAAATAAAAATTTTTTTTTTTTTTTTTTAAGAAACAGATTTGTTTTATTAGCATTTCCTCTTGACTACATACCCAGAAGTGGGATTACAGGATCATATGATAGGGTTTTTTTGTTTGGTTTGGGTTTTTGGGGGGGGCGGGGTGTCTTTTTGTTTTTGTTTTTTGAGGAATTTCCATGCTGTTTTCCATGGCAGCTGTACCATCCTGCATTCCCACCAACAGTATACAGGGTTTCCAGGTTCTCCACATCCTTGTCGACACTTGGCTTTTCATGTGTTTTTGTTTTGTTTTTTGTCTTTTCACTTTCTTTCCTTTTAGTTTTAATTTTTCTTTTAAATATATTTTATTGATTATGCTATTACAGTTACCGCATTCCTCCCCCTTATTCCCCTCCACCCTGCATACCCTCTCCCACCCACATTCCTCCCCCCTCTTAGTTCATGTCCATGTGTCATACTCATACATTCTTTGGCTTCTACATTTCCTATACTCTTCTTACCTCCCCCTGTCTATTTTGTACCTACCATTTATGCTACTTATTCCCTGTACCTTTTCTCCTATTCCCCCTTCCCCTGCTGATGACCCTCCATGTGGTCTCCATTTCTGTGATTCTGTTCCTGTTATAGTTTTTTACTTAGTTCATTTTTGTTTTAGGTTCGGTTGTTGATAGTTGTGAGTCTGTTGTAATTTTACTGTTAATAGTTTTGATCTCCTTCTTCTTCTTAGATAAGTCCTTTTAACGTTTCATATAAAAAGGGGTGTGGTGTGATGAACTCCTTTAACTTGACTTTATCTGAGAAGCATTTTATTTGCCCTCCCATTCTAAATGATAGCTTGGCTGGATAGAGTAATCTTGGATGTAGGTCCTTGCTTTTCATGACTTTGAATACTTCTTCCTAGCCCCTTTTTGCCTGTAAGGTTTCTTTTGAGAAATCAGATGATAGTCTCATGGGAATTCCTTTGTAGGTAACTGTCTCCTTTTCTCTTGCTGCCTCTAAGATTCTCTCCTTATTTTTAATCTTGGGTAATGTACTTAATGATGTACCTTGGTGTGTTCCTCCTTGGGTCCAACTACTTTGGGACTCTGGGCTTTCTGGACTTCCTGGAAGTTATCCTGGAGGTTCTTAAGTGTGTCTTTACTGTTTTTGAATTACTGTTTCTCCATTCTGTTCTAGTTGAGTTGAATGTTTATTTCTTCCTGCTGGTCTAAACTGTTGCTTTGCGTCCTGGTTTCCTTCCCATCACTGTTGGTTCCCTGTTCATTTTCCTTTGTTTCACTTTTCATAGCCTTCACTTTTTCCTCTATTTTGCGACCATACTCAACCAATTAATTCTGTGAGCATCCTGATTACCAGTGTTTTGAACTGTGCATCTGATAGGTTGGCTATCTCTTCATCGCTTAGTTATATTTTTGGGGGGGAGCTTTGATCTGTTTTTCCATTTGGGCCTTTTATTGATTATGCTATTACAGTTGTCCTATTTCTCCCCCTTCATTCCCCTCCACCCCACATTCCCCCCCACTTTAGTTCAGGTTCATATCCATGTGTCATAAGTTCTTTAGCTTCTACATTGCCCATACTATTCTTGCCCTCCCCCTGTCTATTTTCTACCTACCATCTGTGGTACTTATTCTCTGTACCTTTCCCCCTCTCTCCTCATCCCGTTACCCTGTTGGTAACCCTCTATGTGATCTCCATTTCTGTGGTCCTGTTCCTGTTCTAGTTGTTTGCTTAGTTTGTTTTTGTTTTAGGTGTGGTTGTTAATAATTGTGAGTTTCCTGTCATTTTACTATACATGTTTTTTATCTTCTTTTTCTTAGATAAGTCCTTTTAACATTTCATATAATAAGGGCTGAACTGCTGGATAGTGCACACAGGGTCCCATGTCCTCACAATGAAAGTAGATGTGTGGGGTGTTGTGTCCAATCCTTTATCCAAAGCTCTGCATCTGAGATGTCAGATGTCAAAAAAGGCTGCTTTTTTGTGTGTTAAAAGTGACATATATCTTTCAGGCAGGAGTGGGATGTTTCATTCTTAATGATATTTCATATATCTGGAGGTTCTGATGGTCTCTGATAGAAAACAAAGTTTCTTAGTGAGTAAGAAAGTAGTAATCACACAAAGAAATAGGTTTTTATGCCACATCACAGCTGTAGCATGTCCTTGGGAGAAATATTGTTTCCTATTAATTGTGCATCTGGTTTTGCCTGTTACCAGTTTTTCTAGCCTGGTGAATGAATGCACAGATTTTCTCAGAATTTATCTTAAGGGAAAGTTAAGGCACAGCTACAAGAATGGTTTTTATAGCATTGTGTATAATTTTTTAAAAAATGGAAGTAAACTATTTAAAATAAACTATGATACACTATAAGACACTACACAGCCAGAAAAAGTTACATTGTAAGACAGTTTTTAACCTGAAATTTGCAAATCCTCTGACACTATACATAAAATTTTATATTTGTGTTGCTATATATGTGTTTTCCTAGGGAAGAAATCCATAGGTGTAATGTTTCTAAATTCAAAAGGCAAAATATTTGGCTTTCAGTCTTAATCCTGTTGTTAATCCACTGTATGGCTTTAATCCACTGCTGCACAGCAGAATGTATTGTTGTTTTGGAAATGTTCTGTTTCTTTGCTATGCAGTGTGGTAGTCACTGGCCATATGTTCAGCACTTGAAATAGCATAGTGAGGTATTGAACTTTTTATTTTAATTAACTAAATATAAAGAGCGACATGTGGCTAATAATTACTATATTTACCATCATTTTAGGCAAGTCACTTTATCTTTGTGGCTGCCTCAGTTCTAAAGTGAAAGGAATTTTGTAAATGATGAAGTCTGAGAAATCATCTAGTTTTGATCCTTTAAGTTGAGGGGAACAGCCCTTGTGAGATAAAGTATGTTTACTTAGTTCTAAAATTCTTACCATCTATGTGTGAATTTTAGTAATAATAACATAACCTTTATACTTAGTATTATTTCTGGGACACCAGTTTTGTTATCTTACTTTGCCATGTGATTTGTATAACTAGGGAATGGCCGACTATGGCCTGTGGGCCAAATCGAATCACTGCCAATTTTAGTATAACCCGTGACTTGTGAGTGGTTTTCAGATTTGTACAAGGTTGAAAAAAGAACCAAAAGAAGAAAAGTCTATGAAAATAACATGAAATTCAAACCTGTTTCCTTAGTGAAGTTGTCTTAGAACACAGCTACGTTCATTCACTTGTATTGTCTGTGACTACTTTCGCACTGCAGTGGCTGCCTCGGATAGTTACAGCAGTGACTGTATAGTCTGCAGTGCCTGGCAGATTTACTCTCTAGCTTTCTACAAAAATATTTACTGATGTCTGGTATAGATGATCTTTGCAAATGAAAAACTGTTTATTTATTAGGTGCAATTTTACAAAAAAAATGGAGGCTAATATGAGCGAGGGGACGTAGTCCAAGTCACGCTGCCCCAGAGTGGGAGAGAGCAGTTTCACATGCTGGCGGTTTTCACTCTGGAGGCAACACTCCTGATCCATGTGCCAGGATAGGCTGTCATGTGATTGTTGTCTGTATTTTAGATTTGATGAGTTTGATGAAGCAATTGATGAAGCTATAGAAGATGATATCAAAGAGGCTGATGGAGGAGGTATGTGTTTATCCTTCTCTTTTTCATATAACTTCGGTCCATAAAATAACGCAAATGCCCTGATTAGAGCAGCGGGGTGTTTTCTCCCCATTGTCTGTCATGATCACTGCTGATGTTAACAGTCTGAGATTCAAAATAATCTGTGGATGGTGTCAGTGTGTAGACTTGGATCTTACTAATTATTTTTAAAGAGTTTGGTTTTATGATCTGATGTAAAATGGAAATGTTCCTCAGCACATGAAAATTTTACTTCTGCTTCCAAATGGAAAACCCAGTGAAACTTGGCTATTTTTCTATTTTTGGATCAGTACTACTACAGAGTATAAGAAGTTATGGATAATAGACTCTACATGATTTCTTTAAATTAACCTTTTAACAATTAGTTTTCATATTTTTAATACATGACATTAATAGAGAATAATTTGAAGTAAGTTAAGAGCTCTACAAATTACCAGTACTCTGGTGGAGCACTGTGGTTTCCTTGTAGATATTATGAAAACTCTGGGAAGCATTCATAGTTAAGTAGGCCGTTTGCAGTGGAGCTGAAGAGGTCACTAGCTTTTCCAGAGATGTGTGCCTTTCTTGTATCTTTGCTGCTGAATTCTCACTTTTTCAGTCCTGCAAACATAGTTGTTTGTTTGTGTTTCAAAAAATGGATTGGCCTCTTTCTAAAGCTATGTCCAAAAGACAACTTTGAAGAAGAGATTTCTTGAGTGACTGCTAATAGGTGTGAGGTTTCTTTTTGGGGTGATGAAACTGTTTTGGAATTAGTGGTGATTGTTGCAGAATTTTGTGACTATACTAAAATACCCTGAATTAATACACTTAAAAAGGGTGAATATTATGGCATATGAATTACATCAAAATGTAAAAAAAAATCTTCTATACAAGGTGAACTTTATTTAGTAGGACAAATGAATGCCAAAACTCTCTTGATAAGAGCTCTATCAGCTGCAGTCCTGAGAAAAGTGCATGCTTGTAGGAAGAAAATCAAATGAAGAGCTGCTAAGCACGAATAGGAAACAGCCTGGCCCTGGCTGGTGTGGCTCCGTAGATCTCAGTCCGGCCTGCAAACCAAAAGGTCGCTGGTGTGATTCTCAGTCAGCACACATGCCTGGGTTGTGGGCCAGGTCCCCAGTGGGGGCGTGTGAGAGGCAGCCACATATTAATGTTTCTCTTTCTCTCTTTCTCCCTCCCTTCCCCTTTGTCTGAAAAGAGATAAATAAAATCTTTTTTAAAAATTAAAAAAGAAAGAACAGTCTGCAGACATTGAAGGGAAGCTTTTAGTAAACATATAGTTGTGTCTCTTTCTTATTCCCTCTCTTCCTCTTAACCCTCCATCCCTGAATTCAGGAGTTGGTCGAGGAAAAGATATCTCTACCATCACGGGTCACCGTGGGAAAGACATCTCTACTATTCTGGATGAAGAAAGAAAAGAAAATAAACGACCCCAGAGGGCTGCAGCTGCTCGCCGGAAGAAACGCCGGCGATTAAATGACCTGGACAGTGACAGCAACCTGGATGAAGAAGAGAGTGAGGATGAATTCAAGATCAGTGATGGGTATGTGGTCTGCATGTAGACCAGTCCCTAGATACAGGCTTCCACAGTGCCAGCAGAGAAGCTGGCTGTACTCTGATGGGGCTTTTGTTTTTCATGCACTTAGACAGTATCTTATTTTCAGGATATTTAAAGCAGATTTCAGAATGCTTATCTTGGTTCTTTTTAGGTTAAAACAAAGTAGTTTTATGGTTGTTTGTTTAATATTCAAAATGCATTAGCTGCAATTGAGTATTCATTTGTTATGTACCTCTGTGCCACCTTCTGCCATCATATCCACGAAAGGTTGCCAGTCAAATATAAGAAATAGGCAAGTACAAGTTATTAGATACTACTCTTTGGTGACCCTCAGAGGTTCGGGCTGAGGTAAGTGATTTATTGTGGAGTATCAGGAAAGTCTTCCCTGTGGAGTAGATATTGAAACAGTAATCCAGAGTTGTCCTCAGATTGTCAGTGGAAGAAACAAACTTTTATACCACAAAAAAGTCACTTCATGTGATTGCTGCTAAAATACAGTTAAGGCATAGTTAGGGTACAGAAGAGAGTCAGATTAATCCAGGGAGGTCAGAGTGGAAATAAAGCCTGATGAAATTTGAAGATGAATAATTAATTGGCTGGATTGACGAGTTTGGAATTAGAAGCAGGATGAGGAAAGAAGTTGCTGAGAATTCACATACGTCTAAGGCATAAACCACCGTGTAATAGTTAGGAAACTCCTAATACAGCAAAACGTGGGAAAGAAGTAGAGTGCCCTGCAGGAGGTGTAACCGAGACATAAAAAGGACAGAGATGATGGGGTCTTTTGTTCGTCATGCTTAATAGGAATTTGTACTCTGGCCTGAAGGTGATGAAAACCCATTGAAGGGTTTTAAACACTAGAATAATAATGAGGTTTGCTCTTCTGAAAGCTTCATCCTGGTATTTATTTGGAGGATATACTGAAGGGAAATGATCTAGAGATGAGAGACTACTTGGAGCATTGCTATAGTTCAGGTGCGGATAGTTCAGGTGGGAGATGACTTTAGATACTAACTTTAAGGGGTGGACTCGAGGAATTAGTAAATGATTAGATGTGAGAAATGAAGAGGGGGAAATTAGGATAAATACCAGATTGCTGGTTTGAGTTTCTGGATGGGTGATAGTATCAAATACCAGGCCAGGGAACAGAAGCGAGATGTAAGTTAGGAAATACTGAGTTTGCCTTTGGACATGTGAATTTAAGGTACATGGGGGGCATCTCAAGAGGCGAAAGCAATTTATATACAAAATCAGCATCAATTCATCTTCATAACGCTTCCTAAGAAAAGGATAGGTAACAAATAATTTCTTCATATTAGGAAAGTTGATACCATTATTCAGATACTACCTTAAACATTATTTAATGATTTACTGGACTTGTTAGAACTTAAACTCAGAACTTTCCAAAATGGCTTCACAGTTTTAAGCGTACCATCATAATTCATCTGGTTTCTCTTGGACAGCTCTCAAGATGAGTTTGTTGTATCTGACGAAAACCCAGATGAAAGTGAAGAAGACCCACCATCTAATGACGACAGCGACGCTGACTTCTGTAGCCGAAGACTGAGGCGACATCCCTCCCGGCCAATGAGGCAAAGCAGGCGTTTGCGCAGAAAAACCCCAAAGAAAAAGTATTCTGATGATGATGAAGAGGAAGAGTCTGAGGAGAATAGTAGAGACTCTGGTAAAAATAATTTGTATTTACATCACACCAACTTAATAGACTCTTGTGATTTCTGGAGCTAAGAGTTCTTAAAATTCCATTCAGTTGTAACATAAACCTTCTGATAAAACTGAATTCTGTTATGATTCAGCAGTAACTAAAATTTTCACATAAAATACATTCTAAGAAAATACATACAGATGGATAGGTTAACTTCATACTACATTCATCTTAGGATTGTGATAGTCTTTTTAGTGCCAAGTGTTTTCATGCCTAGACTTGACTTCAGAGTGTTTCTTGGGAGTAATTGTTGTAAGTGGAGAATATTTTTCTCAGATGTCTAGCTATTGGAGAGAAGCATCATCAATTATCTAATGTTTAGATCACAACCGGTGATTCATTAATTTTTATTAATTAGCATCTATTAATGGCTTATGCTTATCCCTGTTAACGATAAGTGGAGGGACAGTGGCCAAAAGAACACATGTTAGTGCTCTGTGGAATTGGCAGCCAGGTAGCGCTCATCTTACTGAGGAAGTGGCACAGATAAGAGTATTGCATCTTTGACTCTTGCCAGGCTTGTGGAGCTTTTATTTTGTTAACCTTTTTTTCCAAACTTTTTTGGTAAATGGAAACATCATACCCTTTTATCAGTGATTATTTCTTATGAACAGAACATTTTCTTATATAACAACATTCCAGTTATCAAAATTTAAATTGGTGTAATACTGTTTATAATAGTATACATTCAGGTTTCATTAGGTATCTCAATACTGTCCTTTATTTCAGTATTTTTCCTTAGTCCAGGATCCAGTCCAAGAATACATACTTTACTCATTTAGGTCTCTTAAGTATCCTTTAATCTGGAATATTCTTCAAACTTTGTCTTTATTGTCCTTGACATTTTTGAAGAATACACATTAGTTATTTTATAAATGCCTCTCAATTTGGGTTTTCTGTTTCTTTGTTTAGGTTCAGATTATACATTTTGGCAGGAATATTACAGAGCTAATGTATATCCTCCAGGACTCTTATTTTTTTCCTCTGTAATAAGTAAATTGTAGGAAGATAATTTGAGATACTATAAATCTCCTGTTCCTTAACAGATGTTTTACCCAATAGGTTGTTTTTTTTGTTTGTTTGTTTGTTTGTTTTTTAATTCCTCACCCAAGGATATGTTTGATTTTAAAGAGAGAAGGAGGGAGGAAGGGGGAGAGAGAGATGGGTGGGTCAGAGGAAAGGGAGAAACATCCATCGGCCGCCTCCCATACACACCCTGACCGGGGACCAAGCTCACCACCACCTTTCAGGGTACAGGACGACCCTCCAAGCAACTGAGCCACCCAGCCAAGGCTCACCCACTATTTTAACATTTGTTGATAATTTCTAATTTCATTATCCTTTTATGTTTATTATTTGTTATTCTGTGAGGAAGTGTTTTTCCTTCTCCCTTATATGTTTATTTTCTTTATATCAAAATGTACTTGTGGATTCTTATTTTAGTCAGTGGATATAACATGTTACCATTACTATTTAGGCTCAGTTTGTCCCAGATTTGGATAATGGGAACCTCTTTAAACTGTTAGCTAGCCATTTTGAAATGTTTGAAGTCCATTAGAGAACCAGGGTGGATGTGATAATTTAGTGCAGTTGTTAGCAATCCTAAAAACTGTTGACACGGTGCCATAGTCTGACTCTGGTTTATTGATCAGAGGTGACTGACCAAACAGTGCTATTTCGCGATGCTTTGAGGCTTTAACTAGCCCTGTGTATTTAGCAGATTTTAATTCCTCATGGAAAAAGCCAAAAATATAACTCCAATTTTGTACTTCTTTGAAACGGGCTCCTCACTTTTTCTCTGGTTAGAGAGCTGAACCTCTGTGGTCCATTGTGGACTGGAGATGGTAGCTGTGCGGCCTCATGTACAGGGTTAGCAGGTTACTGTGAGGCGGGAAGAGCAGTGGTGGCAGCTGCGCAGCTGAGGGAGATGAAGGCTTTTATGAAACATCTTTTCATCTTGAGGGTTGACTGTGATAAGACGCATTTGTGAAGTTTGGCATAAAAGCCCCAAAGATTTACTGATTATTAAGAAGAAAATAAGGGACTTAAATTATTATTTGCTTAAAAATTGTTATGAATGAGCTCTGCTTAGTGGCTTTACACTTCCTTAACATTTCTATTAATGGACTTAAATTTTGCACGTGACTTCTTTTCGCTCCTTTTTTCTGATAGAAAGTGATTTTAGTGATGACTTGAGTGACGATTATGTAGAAACTCGGCGAAGGCGGTCAAGGAGGAACCAGAAAAGACAGATTAATTACAAAGAAGATTCAGAGAGTGACGGCTCGCAGAAGAGTTTACGACGTGGTAAAGAAATCCGACGGGTTCACAAGCGCAGGCTTTCCAGCTCAGAGAGTGAAGGTAAGGAACAGATTTCCAATTTACCAAAGGTTGGACAAGGCAGAAATAGAAGTTAATAAAGTGAGAGGATTGTGATTTTATACCATTTCTAAGAAATGCAGTATAACCACTAATATTTCTGAGACAAAACCCATTATTTTATTGCTTGATCACTATTTGTAATTCAAGTAAATGACATTTTATAAATGTAAATTTTTAAGGTCTCCATTGTAATAATTAAATTTTTCATTGAAACTAGAAAAGCCTCAGAAAATTGTAACCTGAGCAAGATTTTTCTGCTCCCATACTACCTATAGCCCTCATTTTGAAATAATTTCCTTTCAAATTTGATTACATGAAAAGCTGAACAGTTATAACTGTGTCTTTTCACCTTGAGAGTAAGCAGGTGTTTCATTTCTTAATAGCTATAGCTTCCTTCCTTAGTAGAAGTTCAGGAAAAGCTCAGAAAATATGAATTTGTGGTATCTGTTTAGTCTTTGTTGTTACTCCAGAACTCTTCCCAAGTTCATTTTAAATGATTCTGATTTCACCTTTTTTTTTTTGTATATTTAATTCTCCATTGTTAATCTGTTTTGAAGATTTGCTTGCATAGATCCTTGTCGATTAAATTTGAGTCTATGCCATGGGGGAGGGGGTTGGATAGGGACAGCCAGAGAAGGAAGGGGAACATCTGTTTGAGTGTGTGTTATCTTTGTGTGTCACTAAAAACAAACATAAATTCATTAATTCAACTATTAAAAACAAATACTTATTGAACTATTCACTTTTCTAGGCACTGGGAATCGAAAAGTGGAGAAAAGAGCCACAAACATGCAATTCCCTCATATAACTCTTGGGAAAGAGACAATAAACAAATAAGTAGAATGTATGATATATTAGGTGGGGATAAATGGTGTAGGAAAAAAGGGGGAGAACGTTGGGTTGGGAGAGTAGTTGGAATCTCAGATTGGATACTGCCGGAATACTCACTAAGAAGACATTTGAGTAAAGACCTGAAAGCAGTGTGGTTCAGTATGTTACGCAGTTATCTAAAAGAGTAATACAGGCAGATAAAGCCACAACACGAAGGTCTTGAGGCAGGTTTGTACCTGGCATGTTCGGAGAATAGAAGGGAGGCCAAATCGGAGGAGAAAGAGTGAGGGGAAGAAAAGTGTGAGATGAAGCGGGGAGATTGCCAGGTGCCAGATCATATAGAGAAATAGCCAGCAAACCACAGCCCATTTGTTTGTGTAAATAAAGATTTTGTAAATCGGTTACGTGGAACTAGCACTGTCTGTTTTTACATATAGTCTGTACTGCTTTCCCACAAAGTTGAGTAGTTCTAATAGAGACTGCCCTTTACAAAAATATTTTCCCGACCCCTAATGAGTGCTGGTGCTGCCCAGTTGAGCTTTTTGCAGTGATGGAAATGTTCTATATCTGTGTTGTTCAAACTAGTAGCCACTAGTATTGTATGACTATTGCACTTGAAAGGTGGCTAGTGTAACCGATGAGTGGAATTTTTAGTTTTTATCTAATTTTAATGAATTTAAATTCAAAATAGCCACATGTGATTACTGGCTACCATATTGGGTAGCATAGTAGGCCATTGTATACAGACTTTGGATTTTATTCCGTGTGAGATGAGAAGTAATTGGAGGGTTTTGAGCAAAGGAGTGATATGATCTGACTTATGCTTTTGCGTATGTAGCTGTGTTATGCACAAGTTGAAGGGAGCAAGGTCAGAATCTAGGAGATCAGGTGGGAGGCCGTTGAAATAGGTCAGGTGAGAGATGATGCCAGGTAAGACAGACCAGGACAGTAGCAGTAAAGGGATGAAAAAGTCAAATCGTAGATGTACTTTGAAGGTAGACCCAAACGATTTATGTTGGGTTAGATGGGAGAAAGAAGAGAGTCAGGGATGACTGAGAGAGCTGAAGAATAGAGTTGCCAGTAACTGAGATGGTGGAAACCAGAACAGCACAAGTTTGAGGTGGGGGTTTAGGAGCTCCAGTAACACATTAGGTTTGAGGTATCTGTTTAGCAATCCAAGCATAGATCTTGAGTAAGCAGCTTGATACATGAGTCTGGAATTTAGGGGTTACCTAAAACAAATGTGAGAATTACCAGCATATAGATGTTATGCCACGTCATGAGAGACTAGGCGAGATCACCTAGTTGTAAGTATAGACAAAGAAGAGAACATTTAAGGACTAGCAAGGATATATAATAACATGGGATGAGAGCTCAGTGTTTCAGATGTCCAGCATTAGTCAAGATTTCTCCAAGAAATTTCATTCTGCTCTTTCTAAAATCATAGGCACATCATGAATCATAATGGGCATTGTTAATGAGACTATGGGAGAAAAAAATCAAGCCAATTATTGAAGGGAAGTATTTGTATATAGGCAAGGCTGAAAGCAGACATGTGGTGAATGTGGGGAGGAAAAGGAGAATTACTTAAATTTGTTTATGGTTAAATGTGCTGTTTATTTTAGAGAGCTATATGTCCAAGAACTCTGAAGATGAGGAGCTAACTAAAGACTCAAAGCGGTCAGTTCGAAAACGGGGTCGAAGCACAGATGAGTATTCAGAAGCAGATGAGGAGGAAAAGGAAGGCAAACCATCCCGGAAGCGGCTACATCGGATCGAGACTGACGAAGAGGAGAGTTGTGACAATGTTCATGGAGACGCGGGTCAGCCTGCCCGAGACAGCCAGCCCAGGGTCCTGCCCTCAGAGCAAGAGAGCACCAAGAAGCCCTATCGGATAGACAGTGATGAGGAAGAGGACTTTGAAAATGTAGGCAAGGTGGGGAGCCCATTGGACTATAGCTTAGTGGACTTACCTTCCACCAATGGACAGAGTCCTGGTAAAGCCATTGAGAACTTGATTGGCAAATCAGCTGAGAAGCCTCAGACCCCTAAGGACAACAGCACAGCCAGTGCAAGCCTGGCCCCCAATGGGACAAGTGGTGGGCAGGAGGCAGGGGCACCAGAAGAGGAGGAAGATGAGCTTTTGAGAGTGACTGACCTTGTTGATTATGTCTGTAACAGTGAACAGTTATAAGACTTTTTTCCATTTTTGTGCTAATTTATTCCACGGTAGCTCTCACACCAGCGGGCCAGTTATTAAAAGCGGTTTTATTTTTCTTAGAAAACTCCACTACAGAACGACTTTTTAGAAGAAAAAGTTCAACAAACCCTAAAGTCTTTCTGTGAAGTGACCAGTTTTGAACTTTCAAGATAAATAATTGCTGTAAATTCCTTTTCACTTTCTTTTTCCAAGTTCATGGTCCTTGGTAATTTCATTCATGGAAAAGAAATCTTATTATAATAACAACAACAAAGATTTGTATATTTTTGACTTTATATTTCCTGAGCTGTCCTGACTTTGTGAAAAAGGGTGGATAAGAATGCATTCCGAATCTGCAAGGGCCCAAAACAGAATTAGGGGTGGGAGAAAGCACTTGTGCTTTAGCTTTTTCATATTAAATATATATTATATTTAAACATTTGTGGCATAGATGATGATTAACAGACTTTAAAAGTTCAAGTCTGTATTGTTGCAGTTTGATAATTGTAGATAACATCATACATAAGTCATTTAGTAACAGCATTCATGAAATCAACTTGTTTACTATTGGAGATAACCACACTTGATAAAGAAGAGACCGAGAAAGTACCATTGGTTAAAAAAAACCAACCTAAGTTTGTTATAGTGGAGTATCTTGTTTTTTAAAAAAAAATCATCTGAAAAGCATCTGTATAGTAAAATGTATAATGAAGCTTTGACAACCAGATTGTGCTAGCAACAAATTTTTTTAAGACAGCTTTATGCAGTGGTGATGAGGTGGCCTCTAATATACTATCATGGAGAGTTATTAGTGAAGTGAGTGTGGTCTTTTTTAAGGCCCAGGTAGACTGTAAACTTTGCCGATAGTGTAACGTCTTCTGGCCACTTACTTAAATATATGAAATATCATTTTGAAACAAATGCATCTATACATAACATACATGAAGAGCTATTAGGCTGACAGTGGTATTTTAGCACATTTGAAGAAGGGGAAAGGATTTTCAGGTGAATTTTAACTGGTCTATTCTTGCCCTTAGTATCTACTTCAAATTGAAGTCTACAAACAAAGCAGTTCCTTTGGGAGGTTTTGAGTTTGAGTTTTAGAGAGTGTGTGTGTGTGTGTGTGTGTGTGTGTGTGTGTGTGTGTGTGTTTTGAAATTTCTTATCTGCCTGGATATATTAGCAGGGTTTGAATGTAGTTTTGGCCTTTGGCCATTAGACTTCTATTAAAATTCATTAACAGTCACATGACCAACAGAGCTGATCAAAAACCACCGATGTACTTAATAGGCATGACTATTAAGATCCATTTCAACCATCTCAAAACTTAAAAAATAATAAGCCCTTTGTTTCAAGAAAAGGGGTTTGTAACTAAACATCTAACATATAATTGACACTAAAATATGAACTTTGTCTTAGTTTCTGTTACAGCTGTAAAATTTCAGGCAGAGCCATAAATAACATTGTACAAAGTGTAGCACTTGTGATTAAATCTTGCCTGTCAAATTCTGAAACCTTCAGCCATTACTTACTTCTGTGAATACTTTTGCCCTGGGATTTGGGTTTTTTCTGTTCCAGTGTTGTCTGTTGCCGGCAATGGACACACCATATCTGCTGCTGGCCCAAGGAACTTCATTTATTTTTCTTTCCAAATTAAGCATTGTATGTGCTAGTCAGTGTATAGTAAAGCACTTCTCTTTTTTATTATTAAAAAGCTGGCATTAGACTTGCATTATAAATACCTCTCTAGAAACTTTATACTCCTTCTTTTCCTTCCTCAACAGGTGTTGCCCTTAAATCTTATCTTTTTGGCCTTGAAAGTTTATAGCTGTTGTTTTCAGTTATTGGTTCTTTTGTTTGTTTTGTTTCACTTTAGTTCTGTAGTACCTGCCGATTAATATTTTTGCTTTGATCCTAGCAATGTATATGTATCTGTATAAAAATAAAATAATGAAAGCAGCCTAAAATTAGGGTGCACAAATAGCATGTGGTTCCAAGTACATTGTGATTTTTATTTTGAGACAATGTTCCACTGGAAGGGAGGGAAGGGCTTACATTCAGAGACAGCAGAGCACAGTGCTGTGTGAGGAGCCACATTCATTTACAGGCCTCCTTTCTGGCTAGGTTTGTTTCATTGATTTGAAAGTCTTAGGAATGTTAGCCTTTCAAAACTGAAACAGGCTGGCAATAGAAGGATTCCTACTAGTGCAAGGTAAGTGGTTAGAATGTGCCAGTGGCCTATCTTGCATCCAGTCTCCCTCCACTGTTTTAGTCCTAAAGCTGGTAAAGCCACTACTGCGTGGAAACTCCCTTGTATCCTGTTTCTACCTCTGGACACACCAGCTCCTGCTTCTACCTATTGTTTAGTTAAGAATATGATAAAAAGTATTAAATGGGTAGATTATTTCTTTTACAGGATGCCTAATGTGAATAAGGAGTTCTTTTTATTCTTCTGCTACAGAGAGCAAAAGGTAATTTTTGTCATTGTGAAGACTGAGTATTCCATTTCGCAAATGTCCCATCGATATGGGTGATGATACCACTTTTGCTGCCTGTTATTTAACAAACTTGAATTAAGTGTTTGTGAAGTTGATAGTGAGTGTATCCCTTCTATCCTTACATTCTGATTATACCAGTTAATTATGTTTCATTTACAAAAATGTAAATCAAGCAACTGATACTTATAAATTATTTTCATGCAGGTAGATTAATTATGGGAGATTAAATGAACAGTTCAAAACAACTCTGCTACTTGGTGTTTCGATTCAGTCCTGAAAGAATCGGTTCACTGAAATATTAACTCCAAACATACTTTGAAGAAGTTTTTTAAATTAGGAAAAAGTAAACATTTTATATCCAAAAATATAATTCAGTCCTTAGGAACTGGAAGTGCGTTGGAGAGCAGCAGTTCATGTGGAGTCTAGAACACCTGTGTCCTTGTTAATAGCGCGCTCCCCGTGGACTTAGGTTCACAGTAGCTGCTGTAGTGTAATAGAGCTCTTTGATGCTTTAAACCTCCTTTTTTTGAAATACAATTTGGGTTCCTGGTATAAAACTCAACAGTGTATAGCAAATGTGTTGAGGGGAGATGTAGTTTAGTACTCACTATTTAGTTTGCAATTTCTGTAAAGGTTTGAAAACAAGCTAAATTGTCACAAAGCAGAAGCTTTGAATTAAGTTATGTGAAAAAACTCTGAAAATACACGTTTGGTTTTTCAGACTTGTGCTGATGAAATAGTGTTCAGTGCAATACATATTCTGTTGTTGGTACATTACTAGAGAATGATGGCAGAGATAGTTTCAAGAAGATACCTGATATATTGAGGTTGGGTTTCCTTGACACATCTTTTTCCAGTTGGTCAGGGCTGCAAATTCAGAAATAAAGAGTTTCATTTAGAATAATTCATGTCTACTGCAAATCATTTTATAAGTGTGACCTGCCAAAGAACCAAGGACTTCAAATGCTGAAGAAGTTGTTGAAAAAGGTTTTTAAACACACTAATTTTAAAAGGCTATTATAAACTCTAGGTACCATTTTTCATTTGATAGAACCCATCCCATAATGTGCATTTAGATGTTTGTTATTTAGTGATAAAATGGGAAAATGTTCATCTATTTTTAGGTGGGATTAATAGAATTTCTTTTATCATGAAGAATGTCTTTTTAGCTTATGTTTTATGAGGTGGTGAGATGTTCACCATTTGCTAGTTTGTACTACCGTACGACCGAAAGGAACCAATGAATCTGCAAATTTCATACACAAAAAAGTTGTGAACTCTGTCCTTCACCAACACAGTGCAGGTCCAGGATTCATGGTGTTGCCTCACAGCTATAGATACGTCTTTTGATGGAATGAATACACACACACATATATATATATAAACATGTATACATACTTTAGATGTTAGGATTAAAATGAATCCTTTGAAATAATTCATTGACATAAGAATCAGATAAATAATTGTAACTGATAGGAAATTATAAACATTTAATTGCAGAAAGTCTAGAGAAAAATAGTGAAGGGTCCTCTTGGTTTGACATTCTAAAAATATAGTCCTAGTTCTCCCAAGAAGTGACAATGCCAAAATTGTAAATCTGCTGTAATCTACCTGGTTCTCTGCTTAATGTATTATTAAACTTACTTAGAATAACATCCATTCCTATTTCAGCCACCATTCCCTGTGTGTACCTGTAAGCCTACCCTGGAAGTAACAAGCTAACTGCTAATTTCTTCCCTATTTTTATACCAATACTGAAAGAAAGCATTTTTCTATCAATGTATTTAAATTGGGTTATTGTGTTACATGTACTTTGTTTTCAGAATTTTCACTCCAACTTCAATTATCATTTGACATTTTTGGGTGCCATGAATTGCTAAGTAACTGTAATGTGTTGGAGATGGGGTTATTCCCAAGCAAGCAAGGAGTTGTTAAAAGCCAAACTGTAGTGTGCTTGGTATATAACCACTGTAGATTGTACACGCAACACTTTTTTTTATTTATAAACCCTCTCAGAAATTGGTAAGAATAGGACCCCATTAGTGGATTTTTCCCCTTGTTTTGGTCATGTCAGCTCAGTTTGTTTGTTTGCATTTTATATTTATACCATTTTGCTCTGGGAAATGCTGCAAACCCAATTCTGGCACATTGCAGTGATTTCATTTAGTGAAGATGCTATTTTTATTTTAAAAACTTTAAGATGTCTATCCTATGCATAAGTTATATGAGAAGGCATAACAAATTATTAGATGTCTAGAGATTTCTTACACTCTTTAGACATTTTTAATAAAAAGGAAACATTTTTAAAGGAACTACATTTGTGTTTTTTTTTTGCCAAACTGGTACAAGCTAGAAAATGCACTAAGGACTGAGTGACCCACTTTGTTCATTTTGCCACTGGATAATGTAAGTTAAGAATGGAATTGTTAACCCTAAGTATATGTTTTCTTAACTTTCATCAGTTTCTAAAGAAATCTAATTTAAGTGTTTGGGGTTTTGTTTGACCTGTATTTATTGAGTTCTGGTCATAGACCAGGAGCCTCGTGTCATGCTTATGGATAGCCAGAACACAGTCATTGGGAAGCGTAATGGCTCAAGACCTTCTGAATCGTTTAACTTATTTTGTATGTTGCAAAAAAAAAAGTTTATTTTGCTTGAGAGTCACATTTTTTATAACTGTACAGCTTTTAAGGGATGAGAAGTGGGAAAATACCCTAAAATAGGATGTAGATTTTTACAACTGTGTTTATGCTAGAACACCTACAGGTGCATTATGTAATTAAACCTAAGATTGTTTTAAAAAAACAATTGTGCCATGGTCTTTTTCATTCTCCTGCCCTTTAGCAAAGTTGGTGCATATCAATACTGCTATGTGGACAAGCTTTGAAATTAGGCAAATAATCCTTGTTGCCAAAGCTTTAAGATCATTTCATGAAAAT